CTGAGTAGTATAAACGCAATCTGTATCAGTTATTTATATCATTTTCCACTCCTCCACCCAGTGGTCTCACCTGAATTCTATGTTGTCATCTAAAAACAAAACAACAACAAAAATGACTGTATGCAAAATATAAATAAAAGTAATGAATACTAAGCCTATAGACCTGAAAGAGGGCAGATGCTTGGAACACAATCGTCTGAAAATTTCATTTTCTGATGAATGTTTATAAATCTCGTCACTTATTAATAACATAAACAGCATTTCCATATCACACTCTTTATGGTATTTGACCAGCTACCTCAAATATAGTGTTTTTGTTTGATAACACTTATCAATAACATTAACAGCATTTCCACATCACACTCTTTATGGTATTTGACCAGCTACCTCAAATATAGTTCGCCCTTTCAGCTGTGGGGGCGTTATAATGTCACGGCCAATCCAATTATTGTTGGTAAAAGCGTAGCCCAAGAGTTGGCGGTGGGTAATGATGACTAGCTGCCTTCCATCTAGTCTTACACTACTAAATTATGGACGACTAACACAGATAGCCCTCGTGTAGCTTTGCGCGAAATTCAAAACAAACAACATAATATATATTTTTAATGGTTTCTCTTTGTAATTTTGTTGCCACTATTGGTTGTACTCAAAAATGTGATGTTTCTTTAATACTTTCTCCTGAAGAATGAGTGAAACGTATTAAGAAGTTTCTTTGTGGGTCCAAAATATAAGTCGTTTTGATGAAAACCATTTGATTATAATTAAATAATCGTCTAGAATTATATGTGTATACTTTCATACATAATTTGAAATATTAAATTAATTTTTGAGGGAATGTTAAGGTTTTCTTAGATTCACTTATGCGAATTTTTTATATCATTCAAATACAAATCGAGAAAATTTAGATCAAATATTTATATGAAATTAAACTACCAGAATTATGTTTTGATAATTTGGGTAAAGAGATATTCTTCTATTAATTGAATAACGAGTTGACGCATATGAACATAAATATATTCTACACAGTTACCAATCAGTTATATAATCTGAGCCAAAGGGTCGAGGCAAGAGGAATGAAAATCAGTCATAAAGATGTCAGACAGGACTTTTGTGTTATTTATCATAGTATCCACCCCCACATTATTTTTCTTAAGTTCATAACCCGGACAAATGACGGGTACCTCAGCTTGTTACAAATAGAGTACTGATTCGTAGTGGTGCTCTGCAAGTCAGAAGAGATTAATCTGAATGTTATATGAAAATAAAGTATACGATGCAATTGCTTGACTTAATTAAAATACTATTAGCTTACAAGTTAGTTTTATTCTTGGCATGCGATGTAATTAATTATACAGTAGCTATCCACTCTAGACAATAAAGAACAAGATATCAGATATGATTATATATACTTTCACTTGTCGTTTAGTTAAAATCATATCATTTCTCTATCAGCAAAATTTTACGTAAAGTTTTCCTTTTTATTTTTATGTTTTACTTAGCCGAAAAATAAATTTCATTTAGATTTATTATTAGTTTCACATATGAATAAAAAAAAAGTATAAAAATGAATAGTGATAAAGTTAGCTTGCAGCTTAGAGCTTGAGTAGCTATATTCTATCTACCACGTTTTATAATTAGATTATAGTATACTCGCCACATAGAACCTTTTATTTAGCACAATGATTTTCTTTAATCGCCGCTGCGTTTGCACATTTCATTTTTTGCTCATCTCAGTTTTAATTATCTCGTTCTTGGTTTTATTTGGTCTGAAAATAAAAGATTTCAAATATGTTCCTTGTATATACTGTAGATATTATCGTCTACATACTTGAAAAAAACAGCCAATTAAAAAAACGCATTTTAATTTTGTTCATAAATATAACATATTCATTTGTCTTCTAAATATCATGTGTAGGCCACGAAGGCTTTATTTTCAAAAATACTTATTTTATTAAAGCCTGATATTTCTCTCTAATTACACAGGCCTGCGATGGTTATTGTCTTGAAATTTTTACATGTTCTAGAGTAATTCCTGTACCCTGAATCCGAAAGTGATATCAGTTTTTCTCTATCACGTACAGAGTTTTCACAAAACGTCATATGTACGTTTAACAGACCGAATGACGTGTCATTTATGGATAGCATTTGTTTGTGCGTGCACTTTGACATTATTTTTTTTTATTTTCAATATTATTTATTCGTCGCTATGGTAAAAAGAGGTTGTGTAAATGACCCAAACATATTCTGTTATATCTGTGGTAAATTTGTTGTAAATTTGATCTAAGTAAGAGTTTTTTTTTCTTCCAGATATGTAAAAAATCCTTACGTGACAGAAAAAAAAAGAATATTATTTTTAAAATCTGCGTAGCTGAATTACGGAAAATCCGTTATTAAAAACCAAAACAACTTTTATGAAGTTTAAATTTGCAGGCCTGCGTTTTCAGGATATTTTGTTCTAAGTTACCGTTTCACATTTTGTTTTATATACGTACTTCAATTTTAAGCAGCGAGTAATGTTGATGATAAGTATCTATTAATGGTCTTTTTCATTCTTCTTAGGAGCATGCGCTCATTTTACACTATTTCAAATTGAAATTGACGATTTTAACTTGACTGATTTCGTACTTACAATTGTTTTCATGATTTGTAATTTCAATTAATCTTATTACGATACAAATATCCACTTTATAAGCTTCGCTCTACAGTTATGGCAGATGTAAAATTGATGCATACAACTATAAGTATATTAGTTAATTATATACGTTAGCCGTTTAACTATGAACGTTAACATGCATTCAGCACTATATTGTTATGTAATTTAATAAAGTTTCTTTCGAATCCAAATTTATTCAGTGTAAAAATATAAATTTAAAACTGGTGTCAAGATAACGTTTCATAAACCAAAATGAATGTAAAAGGAATATCACTGGACGAAAAAATGATGCATTGGAGGGTAATTCAGCATTGATGTTTCATCACTATTCTTCTGTCTTTTTAATATCCTTTGATAAGGCACACACGTACAGACATACACCGATACACATGTGTGTGTGTGTGTAGTATAGTATTATTCGTATTAATTGTTTGTTTTGTTTTTAATTATGCACAAAGCTACACAAGGGCTATCTGTGCTCTGTTCACCACGGGT